CTGCTCAGCTCGCACGGCCCTGATAGGATGAGCGGAGGTTTTTAAAACAATTCACTTTACCATCAAAGGCAAAGGGAAGGCGGCCACAGGAGCGCCTGAAGCCAAATGTCTCCTCAGGGCTCCGGTTGCAGGGAGGAGCCCTGACTGGCTGCACGTGGCTGCGCCAAACGCCACGGCGTTGCTGTAACGCTACGGCAGCAAGGGAGAAGGGAAATTAACGGTGGCGGAAGGTCTCCCGATATGAAGTGCTCCACCAACGCAGGCAGCACCATATCCGGGCATGCAACAAAGTACTTCCAAACGGCAAGCCCCCCCGCCATTCTCCCCCCCCCATTTCGCATGTTTAATATGGGCCTTAATTTGGGGGGAGGGGCTTAATTTGATTTTATGCCAATAAATCATGCTGGGGCTTCCTATTGGTGGAGGCCGTATTGTTGGAGAAACACGGTAGTTACTTTTTATTGATTCACAACAATTCCAATACATGTATTTATTGTAACTAAAAGAATCCAAAAAGGTTAAAGCAAGCACCAAGCTTTTAAGGGTGATCCAACCCTTGTCTTTGAGGTGAAGAATTCAACAATAAAATTAACGGCGACTCAATATAAACACCCTAAGGTGTAATTGGTACCCTGAACCAATCCAAGCTGAGGTTTTTGAAGAACCCAGCTTTAAAGAAAACAGGGTTAAGGTCAGAAATCAGTTGCTCTGATTTCCAGCTATTCCAGAGGAATTTTTGAAAACCGGTAGCGGAAATTTTGAATAGTTTGGAGAACCGGCAAATACTACGTCTGACTGGCCCCACCCCCATCTATTCTCTTCCTCCCGAGTCCCAGCTGATTGGCTGGGTCTTCTTTTGTTGCCCTGCACAGGAGAACGGAGCTGGAAAGCAGGTCACTGGGGTGGGGAGGGAATGGGATTTTGCACTAACCTTCTCCTGTCATGCCCACCAAGCTATGCCCACAGAACCATTAGTAAAAAGATTTGAATACCACCACTGAGTTATTCCATTATTTTAGAATTTACTCTTGTGTATAAGAGACCACTTTCATTCTGTCCTTACCTTGTGATGAAAGAGTTTGGTTGTCCAATACATACATTAGCTCATATTTTCCTCCAACGATCCCTCTCTGTGAATAATGAGTTCCATATGTTTCAAGAAATTTAAAATACTCTCCCTTCTCATAGGTACTTGGCAAAACCTTTATTTCTTCCAGGAATGTATCACTCAAGCGCAAATCACGTTTTCGCATTTGGAAAGTTCCTAGTTGTATATTAGATTTGACATGTAAATAGATGGTACTCTATAATGAGAGAATAGATATAATATATATAAATAGATATAAATAGATATAAAATATATAAGTTATTCTATCTACAGCTATAGAGGTAGAGAATGAGATTGTGGTACTTTTTTACATTGTCCTCTGATTATTGTACATTTATTTATATGGGCAATTCTTAGGTCATGCTGCAATTCATAGACAAAAGCACTTAGCAATAGCACTTAGACTGATATATCACTCCACAGTGTTTTTTACAGCACTCTCTGAGCAATTTACAAAGGTCAGCATATTGCCCCAAACAGTCTGGGTGCTCATTTTCCAGCCTTGGAAGGATGGAAAACTGAGTCAACCTTGAACCCATCGAGATTGAACTCCAGAATATGGGCAGTTAGCCTGCAATATTGCATCCTAACCGCTGCGCCACCACAGCTCATAGACAGTTCTTGCCCCTAACAGACAACATGATACGCTTGTGCAAACATGGGAGTTGAAGTTCTTGTAAAGTCAGATTTAGGTACACGGGGGATTGCCTGTTTTTCAAATTTAATTTAGTGTATTAGACTGTGTTTTCAGCAAAGGGTTCTGGGCATGCTCTCTTTTCTACATGACTCTGTGCCTGGTGTTTAAGGCAGCTATATTTTTCAGGAAAATCATACATAATGAGTCATTAAAAGCATGTACATGTGAAAATATGAAAAAATTTTAAGAAATCACAACCCTTAATTTTTTAAACTTTCATTCATTTCAGGTGACCATTCTAATGGCTCTCCTCCATCCATGGCAGTGATAGTCTAAGTGCTGTCCAGTTCTGATGCCCATAATCATTTTTATTGGATAAGTTGGGCCCTGAACAGAGCAGGCTTTTTTCCAGACAAAACACCCAGTTTTACCAGAGGTGGGCTTCAAAGATTTTAGCAACAGGTTCTCTGCCGGGTTGCTTGGGTGGGCGTGGCCATGGTGGGCATGGCCTAGTCAGCCTCCTGCACCAGGGTGGTGGTGAGGGGGCATTTTTGCCTTCCCTGGGTTCTGGAAGCTTTCATCGAACTCCGGGAGGGCAAAAACGGCTTCCCTGAGCTCTGGAGGCTCTCTGGAAGCCAGAAATGAGGCCCATTTCCAGCCTTTCTAAACTTCAGGGAGGCCCATTTTTCACCTTACCCGAGCCTCTGCGTGCATGGGGAGGGGCAGGATGGGAGGGGCAGGGCCAGCCAGGAGTGGGATTTGGGGGTTGTCCAAACTACACAGAATCTTAGCTAGGGGCTCTCCTGAACTCCTGCAAGCCCCCAGCAGCCCACCCCTGGAGTGATCTGGGAAAGTTTACCAAACGATGTATTATTATTTTTAATTGTCGTAGTACAGATAAGAGGAACTCTTGTTCCTCTTGAAGAAGCCCATACTACTTTATAAAATAAAACTTGGAATTAACTAATGTTAATGAATGTTGTTAATGTAGAATTAATGTTCAGGTGGTTTGGTCATTAGACACAGCTGTTATTCTGAAAACGCCTAAGTGAAAAAGTACTTGGAAATCACGATTACTTCCCCCACGAGAGAAAACCATCACAGAGATGGCATATGGTTCTTAGTATGGTTGCTGCTGTGCTGGTATGAGTCAGCAAATGAAAAGAGAAAATGAGCCAAGCTGCTCAATTCTAGCCTTGAAGTGCAGGTGTACTTCATGTGGGTGGATGAGCTGAACTGGCGGCTAACCAATTCTCATAGACAGGAGTTCGGGGGACCCCTGGGGTTTCGCAGGGGTTCGGGAGATCCCCTAGCTAAGATTCTGCACAGTTCGGAGAACCTCCAAATCTCACTCCTGGCTGGCCCTGCTCACTCACTCCCCTCCCCTCCCCTCCCCTCCCAGGAATCCCCATGTGGCCTGTTTTGGATGCAGGAAGTGCAGGGCAGGGCACACGCAGAGGCTCAGGGAGGGCAAAAAACGGGCCTCCTGGAAGTTCAGAAAGGCCGGAAATAGGCCTGTTTCTGGCTTCCAGAGAGCCTCCGGAACCCAGGGGGGCAAAAATCCAGGGGTGGGATTCAAACATTTTAATAACCGGTTCTGTAGGCATGGCTTAGGTGGTGGGCGTGGCTTGGTGGTCATGTGACTGGGTGGACATGGCTTGGTGGTTATGTTACTGGCTGGGTGTGGCCAACTCAATATCACTCACATCGAGGCACGCATCTCCTCGCCTGGCCTCTCCAGGCTGTGGGGATGCTGCAACAGTCGTAAGTGTGAAAAATGGTCATAAGTCACTTTTTTCAGGGCCACTGTAACTTTGAATGGTCACTCCACACAAGCAAAGTAACCAGCAAAGGAGGAAAAAAAAAAACTCCAGAGACGTTCCTGAGACAGGAAGTCTAGTCCTGCCAAGAATGTAATAAGGGTTATCGGAGAGGCAGTTTCTGTAAGCAACACCAGAATGTTTCCTTCCTGCCTTCCTTATAGGATTAGGCCAGTAATTTCTTCTAACAACCGGTTCTCTGAACTTCTTAGAATGGTAACAACCGGTTCTAGAGAATAGGTACGAACTGGTAGAATCACACCCCTGCAAAATCCCTCCCCTCACCATGGTACAAGAGGCTGAGTACGCCACACCCACCCAGAGAACGCTTTGCTAAAATTTTTGAAGCCCAACCCTGCTCATAAACAGTATTCCCATCAGTCTAGCTTTGTATATAGATGCTGGAGATTGTAGCCCTGGGGGATATTAACTTCCTCAGTTGATGGGGGACTTCTGCCAGTTTAACCCAACAATGAAGATCGAGAGAAGAGAAAAAGAGAGGAAGAATGAAGAGAAATATTGAAAATGACAAAACTATTATTAGAAGGGCATGACTGTAGAGAAAACCTGGGGAGTTAAGTTGGTGTGAATATGCACACCAGGTGTCATTTCCTAGCCAAAAACAGAGAAGAAAAGTCAACAGGTAGCTTCCTTGGAGAAAGACAAGTCCCAGAGAAATGGTATCTTCACCCAAGATAGGTAGGAGGCAGATAGCTGGCTATGGACAGAGGGTAAGGCCCCAGTCTGTGGAGAGAAACTGGATGAGATGCAAATGAGCCTTGGCTGAGGAGACTCAAGGACAGGGGATGAGTGGTGTCAAGCATACTCATTAATAAATCCTGAACATTCTTTTTATTAACTCACTCCTGATAACCCTAGAACAAGGCTCTTCAAACTTGGCAAGTTTAAGACGTGTGGACTTCAACTCCCAGAATTCCTGAGCTAACATGACTGGAGGAGGAATACCTGGAGTTGAAGTCCAAATTAAAGCTGTCAAATTTGAAGACCCCTGACCTAGAAGGAGGAAGAGGGAGATAAGGAAGGGGAGGAAGTTAAGCATTTATGAGGAGAGTTAGAAGGAAATAGTCTTTGGGAGGGAGATTTCTTCTTAAGAAGAAACATGACACTGGGTAGCAGCCAAGATCTTGTTGTAGATATCTATTGTAAATACTTCCACCATATATGGTAAAGAAGAAGCGCAAAAGCTTCCAATGTTACACCTCCATCCTAAAATACCCAATCCCACTGTGACACTGAAAAGACCCAACTTCTGATCATTACATTGTTGACTAAAAGTGGGATTCCTGAACGTATCAGTATCTGTTAAGTTAGGGTTTTGTAGTTCATTGGTATCATCCTGTGCACCTTACTCAAAGAAAGTAGGCAGAGGACTGTAGGTTTCATGTCTCTGTATTCATGCAGCATCTTTATTTGGTTATCAAGATAATCCATTGTAGGATTTTGCATAGTACATTAACCTATAAACTAATAAATGGATTCTCACCTCATGCTAAGACACTGAAAACCTAAACAAGGTTAATACTTTTTGGTATTTCAATAACCCAATTCAGCATTAATGCAGCCAATGGCTCAGTATTCCTTAGGGCTCGTAAATTATCATTCCTCTGGAATAATGTCTATTTATCTATGATATATATATATATATATTTAAAAACTTACCGTTCCTTTGGCTTTTTTCAAGAATTCGCTCATGTTGGATGATTTGCCAAAATTGAAGCCTCCCCCAATAGTAGCTGATACATTGGACTCAGTTGGTTTCAGTTTAACAGAAAGGTTCACACCAAAAGACAGTGATTTTGTACTGAATATTTCTTTCACAGTTGATGTTTGGTCACTGTAGAATTCACTTGTAAAGTGTTTGTCTCCTCTTGTCTTGAAAGACAGAAAATGTACAATTAAATGGCTGACTAACAGACAGGTAATGAGAAACAACATAAGCTGTGTTGACATCCTTTGATACCCCAAGGTATGCTTAGTTCAGACAATATACTAAGCCTGTGATGGCGAACCTTTCGGAAGTGGCACATGAAGCCATCTCTCCAGATATGCCAGCCATCGCCCGTTGCTCTTCCAGCTCCGGCCCGCACATGCCAGCTGGTCTTTGCGTGCATGGGAGTGCCAGAAACTGGAAGCTCATCTTCCCAACATGCGCATGTGTACCAGGGAGCTACTCTTCTGGTTTCCAGTGCTCCTACACACATGCACCAGGAAGCTGCTTTTCCGGTTTCCGGTACTCCCCCACACGCACTTTCGTTTCAGCGTTTGGTGCCAAAAAGGTTCTCCAACACTGCACTAAGTATTAATTAGCAAACCGGATTTTGAATTAGCCCCACTGGCAACCATCCAGGGTGTAGAATGTTTCTCTCTGTTTGAATCACTCCAGGGGTGGGATTCAAATTTTTAACAACCGGTTCTGTAGGTGTGGCTTAGTTGATGGGCGTGGTTTGGTGGTCATGTGACTGGGTGGACGTGGCCTGGTGGTCATGTTTTTGGCTGGGCATGGCCAACTCAATATCACTCACATCGAGACACGCATCTCCTCGCCTGGCCTCTCATGACTGTGGGGATGCTGCATCAGTCGTAAGTGTGAAAAATGGTAATAAGTCACTTTTTTCAATGCCACTGTAACTTTGAATGGTCACTCCACACAAGCAAAGTACCAGCAAAGAAGGGGAAAAAAACCTCCAGAGACGTTCCTGAGACAGGAAGTCTAGTCCTGCCAAGAATGTAATAAGGGTTAACGGAGAGGCAGTTTCTGTAAGCAACACCAGAATGTTTCCTTCCTGCATTCCTTACAGGATTAGGCCAATAATTTCTTCTAACAACCGGTTCTCTGAACTGCTTAGAATGTTAACAACCGGTTCTCCCGAATAGGTGCGAACTGGTAGAATCCCACCCCTGAATCACTCCTCTTAGTTTCCTTCTTAGTGTAAGTCAATCAGTGTGTCTCAACTTTAGCCACTTTCAGATGTATGGACTTCAACTCCCAGAATTTCCCAACTAGCAAGGGAGTTAAAATCCATACATCTAAAAGTGGCTAAGTTTGAGAAACACTGGTGTAAGTAATCAACTAAAACTATGTCTTCTGGGGAAATGAAGGCTTTTTGTATAACAGACCATGGGGAGGGAAGGAGGTTATGTCCAGTGGTGGATCTATTTACCAATGAACTTTCAGCAGAAATAACAGGAGCTGTTAGGATGGACACATCTCCTTCCCTATCCCTGGACTCTTTTGGATAATCACTTTCAGATTCATCCTATGCTCCCATCTCCATTCCCAAATTAGGGGTCCTTCAGATTGTTCTGTAAATCTGTGACCAACAAAATCATATAAGCTTGTGAGCAGTGAAAAGTATGTGGTGAACTGGTCTAACCTACACCTATTCATGAAGGGAGGTTAAGGCCAATGTGAGGCTATTTCTTCTACAGACTTCTGACTGAACAATAACAAATAAAATTTGGAAGAGAAGTGGTGATCCCTCATGTCTGCAGGTGAATGTCTGAAGAAAGATAAAATTCCATTCTTTTGTTAAAGAACTAAAATGCTTGCTTTTATTGTTATATATATATACACAGAATACCAACTATATCTTTCCAACATAGAAAGTGGTTTATAATTGCTTTGGTTTTAACAGCATATTTATAACTCATGCCTTTCAGCCATATAGGGGTTACAGCTGATGGGAATTTCTGAATATTGTAATCATGATGCCTATGGCCAACACTGTGATGGGAAGTCTAAATTAGTAAACATGGATAGGGAAACTTTACTATTATTTTAATTTTCCACCCAAAGTTAGACAGCACTGCATTTTGGTTTTGCCAGATTTGTTTTGCTGCAACAAAAGCACCTGATTGAGTTTGAATAATCTCAAAAGGCTAAGTAGAATCAGAATTTAGGACTATTTGGATGGAACATTAGAAATTCCTATAGACAAAGGAATTTAAAGAAAAGATCCTAAGGCAATGGCAAAACATTTATGTAAAGTTGCCAAGAAACAACTTTGGACACACCCTTGAAATTTTAGAAGTTGAGGCTGAGGCAAAGTGGATTTTGCCTTTTGATAAAAAAAACAAAACTCTGCTTTACACAATGAAGCTTACATCATAATTGAGGACAGCCAGATTCCATGGCTTGCGGTAATAAGTGGCTGAGTTCCCATCACGGACTCTGTCGCAAATGCCGTTGTAGAATTCATTTTGAAATGCAGTTTGAGCTGGTGTCATTCCCAGCACATTCACACTGGAAGGAAGGAAGGAAGGAAGGAAGGAAGGAAGGAAGGAAGGAAGGAAGGAAGGAAG